CCTTAACCTGTGAATCAGCAACACCTGGGAATGCCTCGTTGCAACTGCAGACCAACTGAAACAAAATCTGAGTGTGAGGCCTGGACATCAGATTTTAATCATTCCCCAGGTGACTACATCCCCCATGGCAGGTAGAAAAGCCTTGGTCTGCTTCATCTTGCAAATGGCATCCCTGATCACCAGGAGACTGAGGCTGACAGGTGACTTAAACCAGCCACTCTGTGGAGAGACAAAGCCTTTATTCCAGGAACGGCTGAATGAGGGTTTCTGCCACTTGTGTTGACATGCAGCATCCTGGGACTTCAGTGAGGGAACCTGCCTAGACACCTGGACCAGGGAAGCAAAGAAACAGACATCTGGGTTGGCACCCACCAACCCGGGAGCCAGCCTCACCAATGAGCATAATGAGATAATATATTTCCTTCAGGGTGAAGACTATTTCAGCTGGTCTGTCACATGCAGCCAAACACTTATCAACATATAAGGATGTAGAAGACTGCAGAGAAGTTAATGGCACAAGCACTAGGACCTACAGACTCATCTGGCACATCCTGAACCACAGTATAGGACTCATTAGTTATCCCTTAGCAAATGTTCTCATTTGTCACTCATTTCTGCTTTGTGCCTGGTAGTAAGCTCAAAGACAGGGCAGTGAAAATGTGACTTTCCTTTTGCTTTGTTGGGATCATGTCCATACCACCTCAGAGCTTTTGCACGTGCTAGCCTGTACACATGGAATGATGTTTGCTCCTCTACTTTGTTCCTTCTTGCTAACTCACTCTTTGGGCCTCAGCTCAAATGTCACTCCCAAAGAAGACTTTGCTGGGGTTGGCTCTGGAGACCAGGTGCTTAATCGACCTGCTACCCTGCCATAGAATTTTTACTCCTAATAAGTCAGAATGCTTGAACTTCAGCATGCTTGCTTCAGAATGCTTGAACTTCAGCATGCTTGCTTCAGCAGTGCTTGAACTTCAGCATGCTTGCTTTAGAATGCTTGAACTTCAGCATGCTTGCTTCAGTGCTTATTTTCTGGACTCAGCTCTTCCTACCTGATCTTTTGTGTCTCAGTCAGGCAGGGTTGTCCAAGAAACAGTTTGCCTTTGGTTATGGCCAAAGGAGAGGGATGTGTTGAAAGGAATGGGGTGTTTTGTAAAACCCAAAGGCAGAATTTCCATCTGGGTGCCTTGAGGAACTAGTATTGCATTTGGGAGGAAGCTTGATTGTCGCTTCCTGGCTCTTGTGTCTCTTGTCCTGCCTTCTCTCTGTGGTCTGCTCTTGTCACTGTCTTTCATAGTGGCTTTTTCTGGCTCAGCTATTTTGTAGAAGGAAGTAGTCATCCATTCTTTGCCCTCTGAGGTGCACATATTCCTTGTCACACTACTTTCTGCACTTTTACATTACTTCCATGTTGACATTCTTCTCTTTTATTCTCCCAGCATCCCTGTCCTTGGCAAGTAAGGAAATAGGGCAATTGCAGTGAGTCCCTCATAAGCTTAGTTCATTCAGTTTAAAAATACACCTTTGTTGAGATGCTATCCTTTCCTTTTTGGTAGGTAAAGTTCTTTCTTTTGTGAAATACTGATTTGAAGTTTGTGCAAATGTCTGTATGTGGCCAATTACTGTGCGAAATTCCCTCCCAATTTTTAATTTTTATTCATGTAATGTTGACATCTGCAGTCCCAAGTCTGCCCTTCACTCTGACCCCTGTCCCTGAGGATGTTTTTTTTTGAGACATAGTCTCACTCTGTTGCCCAGGCTAGAGTGTTGTGGCAGTCACCTAGCTCACAGCAACCTCAAACTCCTCGGCTCAAGCATCTTCTGCCTCAGCTACCTAGTAGCTGGGACTACAGGCGCACGCCACCATGCCGTCTTAATTTTTTCTATTTATTTTAGTTGACCAAATTTTTCTTTTCTATTTTAGTAGAGATGGTCCCTGAGGATTTAATCATCCACTTATGGCTCGCTCTCCTCTCCACAGCCTACATGGTCCAAGGCTGCTGGCCCCACACAGGGGTGTTCACTGTTTCATCCTTAGTGTAGCACTTCGGAGACCAGGGTCTGGTACCCAGTTCTCCTATGTATGAGCTATGTGTTTCTGGGCAAGTTAGTGAACCTTCTATGCTTCATTTTCTTATTGGTAAAATGGGGCAATCTCGTGTCTATTTCCTAGGGCTATTTGGGGTAAATGATTGAGAGCAGTGCCAGGTGATACCTGGCTGAGTGCAGGTTAATAAGCATCAGCCCTGCTGCTGTGTCACTGTTGTTACTGGTATCTTCGTGATTGTGGGCATGATTATCATCATCATGGCTGGATTGGCATTTTGGGGGACAACGTTGTGTAACTTTGCAGTTAAATTGGGCAAATGCTAGAGATGAACAGACTCAGGTTTCCATCTTGGCTCAGCCATTTGTTCTCCATTTTCCTGGTTTGGAAAATTACTTTATCTGCCTGAGCCTCAGTTTTTTTCATGTATAAATGGTGCTGATTATAGTACATTCTCATGTATTAAATAGATGCTGTGAGGAAGTTTTAAAATAAACTTTGTGCAGGGCCCACAGGATCACACTTGGCTTAGGAACTAAGAAAGACTTAGAACAGTGAAAACACTTACCTTCTCCTGAATGAGAAGACTCAATATTTTAATATTTTATTTCTTTTTAAATTAATGCCTGAATTCAGTGTTTACAAAACGCAATGCATTTAAGTCGTGTGTCATATTCCCTAGGTTATGGTAACATTTGAAGCTATTCTCATCTAAGTAAACAAAGCCTCAACTACAACCTGGAAACCAACTGTGAAAAAGCATCATTGGGCCCAAAGACAGGTGGCCAGGCGCGGTGGCTCGTCCCTGTAATCCTACACTCTGGGAAGCAAGGTGGGCAGATTGCTCGAGGTCACGAGTTCGAAACCAGCCTGAGCAAAGTGATACCCGTCTCTACTATAAATAGAAAGAAATTAATTGGCCAACTAATACATATAGAAAATTAGCCGGGCATGGTGGCACATGCCTGTAGTCCCAGCTACTCAGGGCTGAGGCAGGAGAATTGCTTGAGCCCAGGAGTTTGAGGTTGCTGTGAGCTAGGCTGACGCCACAGCACTCACTCTAGCCTGGGCAACAAAGTGAGACTCTGTCTCAAAAAAACCCACAAAAAACACTGTTCGGACATCTTTCCTGAAGGATTTGATAGGGTTAAGGTTAGGAAGTCATAGACTCCTTTGACTTAGGTTCTTTTGTCATTATTGTTTTACACAAGAGGCTCACTGAGGTTCAATTAATTGCCCTAGATCACTGCAGCTCTTAAGTATCGGAAACTGGCAACTTGTATGTCAGACATCACAGCCTGTGTTTTTACTTTCCACAGTGGATACAGAGTCCTGGGAGTGACAACTAAAGATACATTTGCAAAGTGAGCAGGCCTCCTTACAGCTGACTTGTCCGTGGAGGGTGAATTTTGTGGTCTTTTGTTGGATATTTTTTCCTGCTCTGCCAGGACAAACATCATGGCCAGTCAAGGGTTTATGTTCTCATTGTTGCAGCCTTATATGTCCTTTCTGACTCCTCCTCCCGCTCTTGAAGTGTCTTGGCCTCAGGCGTACATGCTGGTAGGATTCAAGTAGGGTAAAGAAGCAATGGCTTGGCCAGGTGTGGTGGGTCACGCCTGTAATCCTAGCACTCTGGGAGGCCGAGGCGGGTGGATTGCTAAGGTCAGGAGTTCAAAGCCGGCCTGAGTGAGACCCCGTCTCTACTAAAAATAGAAAGAAATTAACTGACCAACTAAAAATATATGTACAAAAAATTAGCCGGGCATGGTGGCGCATGCCTGTAGTCCCAGCTACTTGGTAGGCTGAGGCAGGAGGATCACATGAGCCCAGGAGTTTGAGGTTGCTGTGAGCTAGGCTGACACCAGGGCACTCACTCTAGCCTGGGCAACAAAGTGAGACTCTGTCTCAAAAAAAAAAAAAGAAGCAATAGCTTATTGTGTATTCTCCCTGGGATGTATGAGGCCCAGAAGGCGTGTCCATGACAATGGAAGCAGGTTCGGGTCCTGTCACTTCTGAGGCAGGTGCTACCACCTCAGGTAAGTCTTCTATGAGATGGGTGATGATGACTATGATTCTCTGCCTATGTCCATGAAAGTGTTTTCAGGGTAGCTAAGCCAGATGTTAGTTCATGCATCTTTAGTTCCAGCTACTCTGGGGACTGAAGTGGGAGGATTGTGAATTCAAACCCAGCCTGTGCAAAATAGCAAGACCCCATCTCCAAAAAAGAAAGAAAGAAGAAAACAACAAAGTGCTGAAAATGTTTCCATGGTGGCTGAAATGGAGTTATAGATTTAAAGTGTTTCACATCCTCATTAAATCTGGATCATCTTTGCTAATGAAGGAACATCAGGTTACATGATTAGAACATAGACCAAAGGGACTTGGTTTCAAATTGTGCTTCTGCTGATAACACATGTGACTTTGGGTGAACTGGTTCAACTCCTGGGCCTCAGGTCTCTGAGTGTAACATGGAGATGATGATGATGTTGACCTCAGGGTCTGCAGCCCTTTGTCCCAGTGTTTCCTTTACAAACATTTTCTTTTAAGACTTTTGACTATTCTTGATGATGGATAACAGGTTTATATTGATCTGGAAATTGAAGCTCACAAAAATGGAGTCAGGGCCCCAAGGTCAAGTAGCAGGCATGTGTTGATTTTAGGATTTTGCTTTTTTTGTTGTTGTTTTTTGAGACAGCATTTCACTCTTTTGCCTACACTGGAGTGCAGTGTTGTCATCATAGCTCAGTGTAACCTCAAACTCCTGGGCTCAAGCAATCCTTCCGCCTCAGCCTTCCAAGTAGTTGGGACTACAGGCTTAACACCACGTACAGCTAATTTTTCTATTTTTGTAGAGATGCGGTCTTGCTCTTGCCCAGACTGGTCTCAAACTCTGGACCTCAAGTGATCCTCTCACCCTGGCCTCCCAGAGTGCTAGGATTACAGGCGTGAGCCACTATCCCTAGCTAGGATGTTGCTTTTAAATCTCAGGAGTATGGCTCTAGAGCTGTAGACTTTTCATTCACTCTTCTGTGGCCTGTAAAGCCCTCAGCATGAGTCAGGCACACAGTAAGGACTGGGAATACTCTAGTGCTATTTTTATCATTACTGGTATTATTGTTATTTTTATTCCCCCATTTCTCCAATATCTCAGAGTACTTATTACCTGTGCCTCAGAGTCCACTCAGGATGGTCCTAACCTTGTTTCAGTCCCCGATGCCTTCCTGCATGGAAGTCTTCTCTCTCTACACTGTAGTAATCCATCCAAGGAAGTATCTGCCTTCCCTTGAGCCTTGCCTATCGCTTAGCCCTCTGGAGGGGCTTAGTGATTTGGCCCTTGGTTCTCTGTGCATCTTTTACAATACCGGCATGACAGGTTCTAATCCTATTTCACAGTCCCAAGGCAAACACTGCTACCTCTGTTTGACTTTGCAGGTGTCCATGACCTTTGAGGATGTGGCTGTGATGTTTGCCCAGGAGGAGTGGGGGCACCTGGACTTGACCCAGAGGACCTTGTACCAGGAGGTGATGCTGGAGACCTGAGGGCTTCTGGTCTCTCTGGGTAAGGCCTGTCTTCTCCCCTATGTGAGGCTCCTTCATTCCAGCCTTTGGCTGCAGGCCTGACTGATTGAAAAGGCCTTGGGAGCCCACTCTCCTGCTCCCCACAGCTTTGCTTATTTTCTGGACTCAGCTCTTCCTACCTGATCTCCTTGTGTCTCAGTCAGGCAGGGTTGTCCAAGAAACAGTTTGCCTTTGGTTATGGCCAAAGGAGAGGGATGTGTTGAAAGGAAATGGGGGTGTTTTGTAAAACCCAAAGGCAGAATTTCCATCTGGGTGCCTTGAGGAACTAGTATTGCATTTGGGAGGAAGCTTGATTGTCGCTTCCTGGCTCTTGTGTCTCTTGTCCTGCCTTCTCTCTGTGGGTCTGCTCTTGTCACTGTCTTTTCATAGTGGCTTTTTCTGGCTCAGCTATTTTGTAGAAGGAAGTAGTCATCCATTCTTTGCCCTCTGAGGTGCACATATTCCTTGTCACACTACTTTCTGCACTTTTACATTACTTCCATGTTGACATTCTTCTCTTTTAATTCTCCCAGCATCCCTGTCCTTGGCAAGTAAGGAAAATAGGGCAATTGCAGTGAGTCCCTCATAAAGCTTAGTTCATTCAGTTTAAAAATACACCTTTGTTGTGAGATGCTATCCTTTCCTTTTTGGTAGGTAAAGTTCTTTCTTTTGTGAAATACTGATTTTGAAGTTTGTGCAAATGTCTGTATGTGGCCAAATTACTGTGTCGAAATTCCCTCCCAATTTTTAATTTTTTATTCATGTAATGTTGACATCTGCAGTCCCCAAGTCTGCCCTTCACTCTGACCCCTGTTCCCTGAGGATGTTTTTTTTTGAGACATAGTCTCACTCTGTTGCCCAGGCTAGAGTGTTGTGGCAGTCACCCTAGCTCACAGCAACCTCAAACTCCTCGGCTCAAGCAATCCTTCTGCCTCAGCCTACCTAGTAGCTGGGACTACAGGCGCACGCCACCATGCCCGTCTTAATTTTTTTCTATATATTTTTAGTTGACCAAATTAATTTCTTTTCTATTTTTAGTAGAGATGGTCCCTGAGGATTTAATCATCCCACTTATGGCTCGCTCTCCTCTCCACAGCCTACATGGTCCAAGGCTGCTGGCCCCACACAGGGGTGTTCACTGTTTCATCCTTAGTGTAGCACTTCGGAGACCAGGGTCTGGTACCCAGTTCTCCTATGTATGAGCTATGTGTTTCTGGGCAAGTTAGTGAACCCTTCTATGCTTCAATTTTCTTATTGGTAAAATGGGGCAATCTCGTGTCTATTTCCTAGGGCTATTTGGGGGTAAATGATTCAGAGCAGTGCCAGGTGATACCTGGCTGAGTGCAGGTTAATAAGCATCAGCCCTGCTGCTGGTGTCACTGTTGTTACTGGTATCTTCGTGATTGTGGGCATGATTATCATCATCATGGCTGGATTTGGCATTTTGGGGGACAACGTTGTGTAACTTTGCAGTTAAATTGGGCAAATGCTAGAGATGAACAGACTCAGGTTTCCATCTTGGCTCAGCCATTTGTTCTCCATTTTCCTGGTTTTGGAAAATTACTTTATCTGCCTGAGCCTCAGTTTTTTTCATGTATAAAATGGTGCTGATTATAGTACATTCCTCATGTATTAAATAGATGCTGTGAGGAAGTTTTAAAAAATAAACTTATGTGCAGGGCCCACAGGAATCACACTTGGCTTAGGAACTAAGAAAGACTTAGAACAGTGAAAACACTTACCTTCTTCCTGAATGAGAAGACTCAATATTTTAAATATTTTATTTCTTTTTAAAATTAATGCCTGAATTCAGTGTTTACAAAACGCAATGCATTTAAGTCGTGTGTCATATTCCCTAGGTTATGGTAACATTTGAAGCTATTCTCATCTAAGTAAACAAAAGCCTCAACTACAACCTGGAAACCAACTGTGAAAAAGCCATCATTGGGCCCCAAAGACAGGGTGGCCAGGCGCGGTGGCTCGTCCCTGTAATCCTACCACTCTGGGAAGCCAAGGTGGGCAGATTGCTCGAGGTCACGAGTTCGAAACCAGCCTGAGCAAGAGTGATACCCCGTCTCTACTATAAATAGAAAGAAATTAATTGGCCAACTAATACATATAGAAAAAATTAGCCGGGCATGGTGGCACATGCCTGTAGTCCCAGCTACTCAGGAGGCTGAGGCAGGAGAATTGCTTGAGCCCAGGAGTTTGAGGTTGCTGTGAGCTAGGCTGACGCCACAGCACTCACTCTAGCCTGGGCAACAAAGTGAGACTCTGTCTCAAAAAAAAACCCACAAAAAACACTGTTCGGACATCTTTCCTGAAGGGATTTGATAGGGTTAAGGTTAGGGAAGTCATAGGACCTTAACCTGTGAATCAGCAACACCTGGGAATGCCTCGTTGCAACTGCAGACCAACTGAAACAAAATCTGAGTGTGAGGCCTGGACATCAGATTTTAATCATTCCCCAGGTGACTACATCCCCCATGGCAGGTAGAAAAGCCTTGGTCTGCTTCATCTTGCAAATGGCATCCCTGATCACCAGGAGACTGAGGCTGACAGGTGACTTAAACCAGCCACTCTGTGGAGAGACAAAGCCTTTATTCCAGGAACGGCTGAATGAGGGTTTCTGCCACTTGTGTTGACATGCAGCATCCTGGGACTTCAGTGAGGGAACCTGCCTAGACACCTGGACCAGGGAAGCAAAGAAACAGACATCTGGGTTGGCACCCACCAACCCGGGAGCCAGCCTCACCAATGAGCATAATGAGATAATATATTTCCTTCAGGGTGAAGACTATTTCAGCTGGTCTCTCACATGCAGCCAAACACTTATCAACATATAAGGATGTAGAAGACTGCAGAGAAGTTAATGGCACAACCACTAGGACCTACAGACTCATCTGGCACATCCTGAACCACAGTATAGGACTCATTAGTTATCCCTTAGCAAATGTTCTCATTTGTCACTCATTTCTGCTTTGTGCCTGGTAGTAAGCTCAAAGACAGGGCAGTGAAAATGTGACTTTCCTTTTGCTTTGTTGGGATCATGTCCATACCACCTCAGAGCTTTTGCACGTGCTAGCCTGTACACATGGAATGATGTTTGCTCCTCTACTTTGTTCCTTCTTGCTAACTCACTCTTTGGGCCTCAGCTCAAATGTCACTCCCAAAGAAGACTTTGCTGGGGTTGGCTCTGGAGACCAGGTGCTTAATCGACCTGCTACCCTGCCATAGAATTTTTACTCCTAATAAGTACCCTGCCATAGAATTTTTACTCCTAATAAGTCAGAATGCTTGAACTTCAGCATGCTTGCTTCAGAATGCTTGAACTTCAGCATGCTTGCTTCAGAATGCTTGAACTTCAGCGTGCTTGCTTCAGCAATGCTTGAACTTCAGCATGCTTGCTTCAGCAATGCTTGCTTCAGCTTCCCCATGCTGAAGTGCCAGACTAGATTGAGAGGTTTCTTTCTTCCAACCAAACACCCTGTGTCCTCTTTTGTTCTCCATGCACAGGTTGTTCTTTGTCTAAACCAGAGCCGATCTACCAGTTGGAGCCCAACCAGGACTTCTGGGCGGTGGAGGAAGATCTCTTCCAAAACTCCTGTCCAGGTAGGAGCCAGCAGCTGGGAAGGTTGGGGTGATGCCAGATGGAAAGGTGAACACTGCCTCTGAAGTTTGTGGGAATCTTCTTGTTGTGGCCTCTCTGGGGGTCTGGGGTCCATGGAGCCATTTAACCTGTGGTCTCTGTGCCCTCCACCCTGCTCAGCCCCCTCACACTCTTCACTGCTCGTGGGGAGGTGTGGAGTACATTGCATACGTTCAGGCTCTTGGCCCTAACTGCTTGGGCTTTAAAACTAGCTTTGACATGAAACAGCCATGTGATCCCAGGGAAGCTGCATGATCTTGTGCCTTTGCAGTAAGTTTGGCTACATTAAATCTAGCTGCTCTAACAGGTATACTCCAAGATGTTGGTGGCTCACAATATGAAAATAATTTTTCTCACACCAGGGGCCTGTGGGTCATTGAGGAGCTCTGTACCACACAGTTATTCACAGAGCGAGGTGCCTTCTGTCGTCAGCGTGAGGTATTAAGGCTTCCCTGGCATCCTCCAGCTGGTAGCAGGGAAATGAGAAGAGAAGGGAAGGTGGTACACCCACTTCCACACACATTACTTCCCCTCACATTCCAGTGACAAGACTTTTGGTCACACTTAGGTGCATGAGACTGGAAATGTGGGTGCCCAAGGAGAAGACCAAATGGTGAACATGTGAATAGATGGCGAACATCTACTTAGTCCACTACACTCAGTCTGTTCCTAAAGAATTGTAGCAGTAATAGTTTATGTATCATTTGGTGGTTTGAAGATGCAATAGATTATACATGAAACTGTTCTTAACCCATTGTGAATGGCTCAGTAAAAGTGATCTATTAGCATTGTTCATGCCATGTTATTAGCCGTAATGATGATCACGTATCTGGTATTTCCTCTGAACTGTGAGGAACAAGGCCTAAGTACACTTCACCCTGTTCAACATGGGTTTGTATTGCACAGGTTTACTTACAAGTGTATTTTTTTCAATAAATATATTGGAAAATTTTTGGAGATTTACAACAATTTGAAAAACTTGCAGACCTGTGTAGCCTAGAAATACTGAAAAATTAAGAAAAAGGTATGTCCTTAATGTATAGACTACATGTAGATACTAGTTTATTTTATCACTTACTACCATAAAATATATAAAAAGTATTATAAAAAGTTAAAATTTAACAAAACTTAATTACACAAATACAATTTGTACATGATTACTTTTGCAGTTGAGAGAAATGCAAACATAAAGATGCTGTGTTAGATCATAGCTGCGTAAAATTATCTGTAGTACATATTGTATTACTGTAATAATTAGCATTGAACTTAGGATGCAGCACAAACTTTTCTGATTGTACTGTGCTTGAGAATCTGGCTCTTTGGATTCTCTTTCCTTATTGTCCCTAGACTTTACGGTTCTTTTCTTATTCTGATCTTTAATTTAATGTTGGCTTTATTAGGAATCTCACAGCCCATCATTATTACTTTGAAATACTCTCTAAGGTTAATTCACATGTTCTTACATCTCACATTTGTGGACTTTCAAGTTTGTTGCCAGATGTGTATTCTTTGACTAACCTATAATAAATAGCTATTATGTATTGATTTTTTTACTTGGTGCTTGGCTCCATGCTGAACATGCATGCAAAGTGTTTCGCTTAATCTTCACTGTAGTCTTATATGACAGGCACTATGTTTAGACTTGTTTTTTGGAGATTAAATGGAGGCTTATGGCATCTGAGTGGCTTGCTAAGTGCCACAAAAAGAGCTAATATTGAATTCTGCTGGGACTACAATTTTTGTTGTCTTAAACCATTGTACTCAAGTGGCATCTAACTTTTTATTAGTGGACCTCAGGTGTACAGACTTTGATTAATTGTAAACCTTGGTTCATGATGCACTCTCATTGAATCATGAATGGCTCTGATTAATATATTTGTTAAATTATTTTCTCATTTCTTAACACCATCACGCAACCCAAGAAGAGAACATTACCCATACCCTACTGTCTTAGTTGGGTTTGGTTGCTATAGCAACAGTAATATAACCCAGATGACTTAACAACAAATATTTATTTCTTACAGTTCTGGAGACTGGGAAGTCTAAGATAAAGGTACTAGCAGATCTGGTGTCTATTGAGGTCTGCTTCTTGTTTGTAGATGGCTATTTTTTGGTTGTATCCTAACATGAATATCACTGATACGGCCTGTTGGGATTATATTTGAATTTATATATATAAATTTTTTTTTTTTTGAGACAGAGTCTTGCTTTGTTGCCCAAGCTAGTGTGAGTACCGTGGGGTCAGCCTAGCTCACAGAAACCTCAAACTCCTGGGCTCAAGCAATCCTACTGCTTCTGCCTCCCAAATAGCTGGGACTAGAGGCATGCACCACCATGCCCGGCTAATTTTTTCTATATAAGTTGGCCAATTCATTTCTTTCTATTTATAGTAGAGACGGGGTCTCGCTCTTGCTCAGGCTGGTTTTGAACTCCTGACCTCGAGCAGTCTGCCTGCCTTGGCCTCCCAGAGTGCTAGGATTATAGGCGTGAGCCACTGCGCCTAGCCTGAATTTATATATTGATTTGTGTAGAGTTGATGATTTAATATTAAGTCTATATAGATCTTCTTGTAGTTTAAAGTTTTATAATTTTCCCCATCAAACTGGATCTTTTCCCAGTCTTTCTCAGGTTACTGTTTCTCGAGGTTGTACTGAATTTATAGATTGGTTTTGGGAGAATTGATGAGTTTATATTATTAATTTCTTCATTCATGTACATCTTTATTGTCTTTAAATTTTATAGTTTTCTTCTTTAAGATCTGATCTGTATTGTTAGCCACTTCACTTATCTGTTCCTATGACACAGTGGACTCAACATGTCTATTCAGATCCTGTTAACCTTGTGTCTTAGGAACCCTGTCTTGGGAGTAACTGTGGCCATTGCCAGTTGTCCCCAAGGCAGAATCTTGGGCATCACCTTCCTCTCTGTCCTCACATGTCTCTGTATCCTCACCAACCACCTGTCATGGGGCTGCATCCTCTTGCTACAGTTCCCTGCCTTTTTATGTCCGATTCCTAAGGCTGAAGGGTCCTTTCCATCTTCTCTATATGGCAACTGCACCTCTCCCTTAGGACTCAGCTCATGAGGCACCACCTCTGGGAAGCCTCCCTGGCCTCTTCATGTCTCCCATCTAGGTTGCATTGGGTCCCCCTTCCCGGGCCGCTGTAGCACCTTGACATGTTCTTGCTTTGGGTAAATTCACCACACACAGCATTATCTTTACTCTGTCCACCCAGCCCAGTCTTGACTGTGAGCAGGGCTCTCTATTCCAGACACTCTGCCCCTACTCCCAGCCTCTTCCTCTGAGTTCAAGCACCAAAGAGAAAGAAATTGCAAACTTGGATTTCAAATCATAGCTATTTTCGAATCATCACTATTTTCATCTTCCTGTTCTCACTGAAATGGGGATTTTGTTTTTTCCATGTGGTCATGCCTAATAAGCCCTTTTGTCTATTGTATTCCCTTCAGGTGACAGCATACAACCCAAAACAACAGTTAACCCTTCCTCACCTGGCCTTGCCTGAGGAAGTCTCACTCGAGGAGCAACTGACACAGGGATCCTCAGGGGACTCCCAACTAGAGCAAGCCAAGGATCAGGATGGGCCATCAGAGATGCAGGAAGGCCACTGCAGACCAGGGATGGACCCGTAGAAGGAAATGCTGCCTTGGAAAATGAGCCCTGAACATGATGGTTTGGGGACAGATGATGGTTTGTGTTCAATAGTTGTACAGGAACAAGTCTCTCCAGAAGATGGTCTCTATGAATGTGACTCATTTGGAACAGTTATGGATCCCTTGATTCATAAAGGAAAAAATTCCTATAAAAGCAAGGAATGTGGGAACCTATTTAAAAAGGATTGCCTCCTTGTTCAACATGTGCAGATTCACAATCAAGTGAAGCCCTATGAATGCACAGAGTGTGGGAAAACCTTTAGCAAGAGCATACATCTCCTTCAGCACCACATCATCCACACAGGGGAGAAGCCTTACAAGTGCAAGGAGTGTGGGAAGGCCTTTAAACGCAGGTCACACCTCACACGGCAGATTCACACTGGAGAGAAGCCTTATAAATGCAGTGATTGTGGAAAGGCTTACACCCACTGCTCCACTTTTGTCTTGCATAACAGGAGCCACACTGGAGAAAAACCTTTTCTGTGTAAAGAGTATGGCAAAGCCTTTCGAGATAGGTCAGGTTTCATTCGACACTATCATCCATACAGGAGAGAAGCCCTATGAGGACATTGAGTGTAGGAAAGTCTTCAACCGCTGGTCATACCTCACATGGCACCAGCAGATTCACACTGGAGTAAGACCCTTTCAGTGCAATGAGTGTGGTAAAGCCTTTTGTGAGAGTGCAGAGCTCATTCAACACTACATCATCCACACTAGGGAGAAGCCCTATAAGTGCATGGAGTGTGCAAAGGCCTTCAACCACAGATCACACCTCAAGCAGCACCAGCTGATTCACACTGGAGAGAAGCCTTATGTGTGCAGTGAATGTGGAAAGGCCTTCACCCACTACTTTTGTTTTGCATAAAAGGACCCACACTGGAGAAAAACCCTATGAATGCAAAGAACATGGAAAAGGCTTTAGCAATAGGGCAGACCTCATTCAACACTACAGCATCCACTGTTAGGGACCGACCTTCCACAGCCCCACCGGACAGAAAAGCAGAGACATCGAGAATGCAATCACACAAGAGGAGGTTTATTTTCTGGCTAGCCAGGGTCCAAGCCCCAGAGCACCAACACAGTGGCCACTCTTGCAGGCAAGGACCCCGACTGGAACAACGGCACGCCTTTTATCCCCATGGTGCACAAGCTACGCACAGGTTGACTACGCATGGATCATGTGTTGACCTTTAAAATGATTGGTTGCCCACTATTGCCTTTTGAAATAATTGGCGGGTTGGTTGCCCTCTATTGCCTGGTGGGCCAGTCGCCCGTGCTTTAATGACCTCATCTCATAATCCCCCCTGCAGCAGTGTAGCAAGCAAGCAATGACCAGAAGCAAAGGTTTGCAATTAGCTCATTGCCCCACCCAAGTAAATTCCCGACAATTGGAAAAACTCTCCCCTTCCTCTGTCCTATAAATTCCTCTGCCCTTCTGCTCTACACCACATGGGAGAGAAGCCCTATGAGTGCATGGAGTCTGGGAAGGCCTTCAGCTGCAGCTCAAACTTCATGAGGCACCGGCAGACTCACTGGAGAGAAGGCATATGAATGCATGCAGTGTGGGAAGGCCTTTTGCCGGAGTGCAAACCTAATTCAACATTCCATTATTCACACTGGAGAGAAACCCCGTGAGGGCAGTAAATGTGGAAAGGCCTTTAATCGCAGCTCATCACTCACTCAGCATCAAGGAATTTATACTGGGAGAAACCCTACCATTGTGACAGATGTGAGAAAACCTTTTACTTACTTTACTTTAACTGAAGTGTCGACTTCAGTTAAAATCCAAGAACTCATACTAAGGAAAGATTTTTTGAATGTGACCACTGAAGAAAATCTGTGGTGACAGGAAGCATCTGGCCATTCATGCCAAAGAGAAACTCCATAAGCACTATTTCTATGGAAAAATGTGTTGTAGATCCTCCCTCATTTGCCATCTAAAGAATCATGTTAGAAATTGACCCAGCCTAGAGTCTTTTTGTGTGTCTGAGAATTCATCCATGAGAGAGATCCACTAGTTATTGTGCACGTAGGAAAACATTTAGCCACATCTTTCTTCTTAATTTACAGTGAAATGTTATCTCAGGTATTTTTTTAAAAAGAAGAAAGAGACATAAAGAAATGGGAGCATAGCTTCTTTTAGACTTCCCTGACATGCTTATTGCAATTTGTCATTTCTTCCTTACTTTATTTGGGGCAAGGGACATACTGTTTCAGAAACAAAAGGCCCTCTTTTCCTTTATTTTTCCCTGTGTATACATTTACTGTTAGTATCAGTACAATTAGACAAATGAACTTATGCTTGAAAACATTTTGTGGAAGCCTACTTTTTCCCATAACATTGTCTCTACCCTTGGGGAGCAGGAGCATACGACTTTATGAGCAACATGGAGGCTTCAGTTGTGAAATAATTTTATATTTAAGGAGATAGGATGTACATATGAATGGGCACTTTTTGCTACACACTTAAGACTCTTTAATTTTCTTAAAAGAACGAACCATTTCTTCATGTGTTTTTTGTTTTGTTTTGAGACAGAGTCTCGCTTTGTTGCCCAGGCTAGAGTGAGTGCTGTGGCGTCAGCCTAGCTCACAGCAACTTCCAACTCCTGGGCTCAAGCAAATCACAGCTGCCTCAGCCCCCGAGTAGCCTGAAGACTAGAGGCATGTACCACCATGCCCAGCTAATTTTTCTTTTTTTTTTTTTTTTTTTTTTTTTGAGACAGAGTCTCACTTTGTTGCCTAGGCTAGAGTGAGTGCCATGGCGTCAACCTAGCTCACAGCAACCTCAGACTCCTGGGCTCAAGCGATCCTTCTGTCTCAGCCCCAAGTAGCTGGGACCTACAGGCATGCGCCACCAATGCCCGCTAATTTTTCTATATATATTTAGTGGCCAATTAGTTTCTTTCTATTTATAGTAGAGACGGGTCTCGCTCTTGCTCAGGCGGTTTTGAACTCCCGACCTCGAGCAATCCCCCCGCCTCGCCTCCCAGAGAGCTAGGATTACAGGCGTGAGCCACCGCGCCCGGCCCTAATTTTTTCTATATATATTAGTTGGCCAATTAATTTCTTTCTATTTATAGTAGAGATGGGGTCTCGCTCTTGCTCAGGCTGGTTTCGAACTCCTGACCTCGAGCAATCCACCCACCTAAGCCTCCCAGAGTGCTAGGATTACAGGCATGAGCCACCACACCGGCCTTCATGTTTCTTTAACAACCAATACATTTCTTTATTGATCCTAGTTACTTGTTTATTTCTTTTCATTTTTGTATGGGATGGAGATGATAGTGTAACTCGTACATATATAACCCAGGGAAGCTCTAGTTCTCTCCCATTCTCAACTTCTGTACCTCTCCTTAGGAGAATTCTCCAAGTCCACCTCAACAATTTCTTGAGGTCAAATAGAGCCAAAACAAAACACATAGCTAAGGTAAGATTTTATGATAAACTTCAACAGACACATAGAAGGAATCTCATATTCATCTTTTAAAAGATGTGAGAAGATTAACTGTTACTAGAATTTTAACAGGTGAACCTGTGTGTGTATAGTAGGCATGTTGAGTTTCCACCAATTGTTACCATAGACTTAGCCAATTATAATGACTAATGCATTTAGTTGAATATTTTGGAATTCCACCTTTGGTAGTCTTTTTTGAGCCTAGTTTTTCAGCTACATGTGATAGTGTTATCATACATTAAAAATTATACAGAAATATAAAAATGTGTTTTGCAAATAGCTTCTCCCATTTTTCATGCCTTTTTATTTTCTAGCAGTGTCTTCCTGAAGATTAGATGTTTTTAATTTTGATGTAAACCAAAATATTTTGTCTTTCATGTGTTCCTTGGTGACCTATCCAAGACTTGATTTCCCCAAAATTGCAAAGCTTGACTTATGTTTTCTTCTAGAATGTTTATATTTCTAATAGTCAGAGACCCATTTTGAGTTCATGTTTATATATGGTCCTGAGGTAAGGGTTTCATATTAAAATTAAACATACTTTTATTTATTTATTTTGAGACAGTCTCACTGTGTTGCCCTGGTTAGAGTGCCGTGGTGTCAGACTAGCTCATGGCAACCTCACACTCCTGGGCTCAAGCGATCTTTCTGCCTCAGCCTCCCAAGTAGCTTGGGCTACAGGCATGTACCACAATGCCCCTCCCCCCCCCAAAATTTTTTTTTCTATGTATTTTTAGTTGGCCAGTTAATTTGTTTCTATTTATACTAGAGACGGAGTCTCGCTCTTGCTCAGGCTGATTTTGAACTCCTGACCTTGAGCTATCCACCCGCCTCAGCCTCCCAGAGTGCTAGGATTATAGGTGCGAGCCACCGCGCCCGGCCATACTTATGTTTTATAAACAAACAAGTCACTTTGGGAGCATATACCTTAGGAATGAGGGCTTTCTTATACCAAAATACATGTACACAAAGATTTATAGCAATTTTATAATAACCAAGAACTGTAAATAATTTAAATGACAGTCATCTATAAGATGTTTAAACAGTGAAACAGTCATTAAGTGGAAGAAAACACAGCAATTAAACTGCAACTGCTGCTTTCATACTACAAGGTGGATGATTTTCCCAGAATAAATGCTTGAATTGAGGCCTGCACAAGCCCCAACCTGTTTGGGATTGCTGTCTGCCTCATAGACCAAAGTTGTCTTCCTTTGAAAAAGCCTTCTAGGTAGTTGGCTTTGGCTATTTCCAGGAATAGAAGGTCAGGGATTGAAGCCTCATGTTTCTGAAGTTTCAGTTGAGTTAGAGAAGTTTATGATTGTATCCAGAAAACCCACAGTGGGTGTAGTTACCTCCAGAACTCCTTACTGTTAACTCAGCCTGGGTTTCATGGCAGTCATGGAAATGGATTCATTAAAAATAATTAAAAAAAAAAATACAGCCCCCGCCCAAAGAAACAAAAAAACAAACTTCAGTGTCAGTGAAGTGTTGGACACCAAGCAGTAAATACTGGAAAACTCCACTGATAAGTTCATAACCAGACATATCACATACAAGGTGATAAATGACATTTGTATTAACTGAGGGAAGGCAAATTTGTGCCTCAGAAACTATTGGGGATATCTTTACTTCATGGGAACGTTTACATGGGACACAAGTGTACACAGTTTTCAAGCCATCTACCCACGAGCGAGATACACTCATTGTTCAGTTTAAGACATAGCCACACTAGGATAAAAATTTTTCCTTGGAGCCACTGTATTCTATTATGAAAATATAATAATAATAATAAAGCTACCCTTCCTAATGAAAATTTTGTTTTTTGTTTTCTGTGTTATGAGTTATATGCAACTTGAAAAATAGTTCACGGGCTCTGCTCGTGTGATGTTTCAATGCTTCACGAGGCCCCGGCTCAAAACTAGCGTGAGTTAAATACAACTTACATGGCAGTTAAGTGTTCAATCTCAGTCCTTAAAGCTGAGAGGTGAAGCAGCTCTCCAGGGCATCAGAAGCAAGTAAAGAGTGAGTCACCTGCTGACGGTTTCTGAGGCGCGGCATCTGCCCCAGGCGACCACGGATCTGGGTACGTTCCATACATGAGGGCTATGGAACGGCTCTCCAAGATACTGTTCCCCGCATCTCCTCGCGCCTCCGTGAGCCGCACCTCTGGCAGCGCCATCCTGGCCGGATGCAGGGCGCAAACTACAACACCCAGAAGTCTGTGTCCGGCGCACCAGCGTCGAAGCTGGGCCAACGGCGCCGGAAACTTGGCCTTCCCGGCGCCAGTGGCGGCAAAGGCGGGATTCCGGCGTCACGGTCGTTACGTCGTTTTGCTGCGCCCAGGCTGTTCCGCTCTGGCTGGGAAGGCTGAGAGTCCTAGGTGGGTCGGCTTCCACCCAGCTCTTCCGAACCAGCAAGGAACAGCAGTCAAAAGACAGGCAGGATTTCCCCGCGCCTTCGGGACGACCTACGGGTCCTGTCTTGGGCTGGGCGCTCGCGCGGAGCTGTCGCCGGGGCTGCGCTCTCGCCGAGTCGCACCCGCCCCCTGTCCTCGTCGCCCGGGAGGTGGCACCTGAGCCTTGCGCGCGTTTCTACTCGGGGAGACAGGCTCGAGTGCCGCAGTCAGCACGATCGTCCAGCCGGCGGAGCGGTGTGGGTTCGGCTGAGCCCCAGGCACCCTGTTCGCGGTCTCACGACCCGGTTCTGCTCATGGCGGCGGCGCGGGCTGGTGGCCGGGTTCAGGTGAGTGGAGCGTCCCTCAAGCCACAGCGACCCGGTTGGTGTGTCCCGCGACGCTGCGCCTTCTTCATTCACTCCCTTCTCTTGACTGTGGAGGCCGTCCCTCTGCGGATATGTGGGAAGGTTCCCATTCCCGTGTCAGCGGATGGAGGTGTGGAAGAGTTCCAAGGACAGGAGCCAACTTGTACAAACGCTGGGGATAACAATCAGTTTCGGAAACCGCAAGTTTCTGTTATGCCTGGTGAGACTGGGGAGCGGTGGTCAGGGGTCAGGCTGGAATGGCAGCCTGAGAAGCTGGGCCTCTCTCTGAGCGTGGTGGGAGCCATGGAAGTTTGGTACGAGAAGGGAGGGCTCTGACTCAGGTCTTAAAGACTCTTCTGGCTGCCGAGCGGAGAGATTGGGGCACCGGGTAGACAGGGAGATCAGGGTGGAGTCTACTATTCAAGTAAGTTTTGATGGTGGGTGGGCCGGTGTGGTGGCAATGGAGATTAGAGAATGTGTAGGTTTTGTATATGTTTTATAAGTATAGCTGAGCCTGTTTTCTGATGACACGTAGTGATATCCTGGGACTCTTCACCTGTCTCTGTCTCTGCACTTGAGTTTGGGGGCCTGAAAGGGCATCACTTCTGCTCAGCATCCTGAATCCAGGCCAGGAATCACATGGATTATGTAGAGAAGTTCCAACTATGGCAACCAATGGATGAGGACTGGAAAGGTATATTAGGAGGAACAGATGGGTGCAACTACTTGGAGTGAGATTGAGTTGGAATGCTCAGGAAACCTCAGGTCTTAATTATGTGTGTTGGAACAGAGCAGAGGGTAGGAGTCAGGCAGAATGGCTGGCTGAGGAGCTGGACCTCTATCTTGAGTGGTAAAGCCATGGAAGATGTGTAGCAGAGAGGAGAGAGATGATCTGACTCAGATCTTAACAGCTCCTCTGGCTCTCAGGATGAGAAAGACTGTGAGCATGAGGGAGGAGCCTACTGTAGTAGTGTTGATGGTGTGCTGTGGAGGTGAGAGAAGTTGGCAAATTTTTAAAATCTGTTTTTTTATTATATGGATGATTGGATTTTTTATGTGAAGGGCGAATGAGAGAAAAAGAAGAGTTGTGGATGACCTCCCTCCAAGGGTTTTTATTTTTTAGCTTTAACTGGTACAATGTTGGAAGTGCCATCAACTGAGATGGAGAAGTTGGTGGCAGGGGTAGTTTTAGTTGTTATATCAGGAGTTAAGCTTGTCATGTTTAGTTTAAGAAGTCCTAGTGACCCCTTTTAGTTTAAGAAGTCCCAGTGACCCCTTAGTTGAGGCATTAAGGGGACACACAGGTTTTTTAGTTTTGGGGAAGGGTTCTGTTGAAGAATTCAAAAGGTAGCAGCAATGTGTGGAGTGGGATGGAGTGTCTTTAAGTTATGGTGGTAATGCTGTTAGGAAGAAAGGTGAAACTGAGGACTGAGAACTGAGCCTGTAGCTTAGGCACTTGAGTCACTGTGGTACATGTTATAAAGACAGATGAGCACTTCTTGGATGTTGTATGTAGAGTGGTATGGGGTCTGGGGATACCATGAGTTGATATGGTGTGGGCTAGGAGCTTGTCAGTGGTGGTTGGGTCCCAAATGTGAGGAAGGCATGGTCCAAAGTGTGATGTGCATATTGGGAGGGGTGACCTAATTGGCCCTAGTATTGGCAGCTTATGGAAGAAGGCTGACCCAAGTTTGGCTGTGACTGGGAGAAATGGTCTGGATGATACCAGGAGAACTGGTTGGTAGGAGAGTATTTGGGGTCCTTCATACCAGACACAGAGTTTAGACAGCATCTGTCTGCACACTTGTCTGTTCTGCTCTGGACTGGACACAGTGATCAGAGAGAATGAGGAGAGAACAGGCACTAGTGGCTCCAAGGCCTGGTATCTCCTCTGAGTTGGGAGGCTAGGGACAAGAGGGGCCAGGCAGTGGTGGGGAACCTGTGGTCTTCTGGATCCTTGAGTGTAGTGTTTTAACTGAATCTAAATTTTACAGAACAAATTAAAGGATTTTTTTTCTGTGATGTTTGGATTCAGTCGAGGGGCCACACTTGGGGATCTGGAGGGCCACATGTGGCCTTGAGGCTATAGATTCCCCACCCCTAAAGGGGGTGGGTGTGTCAGTGAATAGACTGGAGGGAAGAGGGCACTGGGGTGAGATGTTGCCCATGGGCTCAACTGTCCCCATAATGGCAGGATTGTGTGACCTTCGAGGATGTGTTCGTGTACTTCTCCCGGGAGGAGTGGGAACTCCTTGAGGAGGCTCAGAGATTCCTATACCGTGATGTGATGCTGGAGAACTTTGCACTTGTGGCCACTCTGGGTAAGTCCCTGTTTTAGTTATCTATTGCAACATGACAGATAACCCTAAAATTTAGTGACTTGAAACAATAAAGATTCATTATCTCTCAGTTTTAGTGCATTATGCATTTGTTGACGGCTTATGTGGGTGCTTTTGGCTCTCATGAATCAAGCTCTCAGCCAGAATTTGGTCTCATCTGAAGGCCCATCTCAAGAAGAATCCACTTACAGGCTCACTCATGGTTGTTTCCAGATTTAGTATCTTGTGGCTTGTTGGACTGTGAGCATTAATTCCTTGCTGGCTGTTTCCCAGAGTCCTCCCTCACTTCCTTCATCAGTTGGCCTTTTTGTAGTAGATTTCATAACATGGCAGCCGACTTCTCTTTGAGCAAGTGATAGTGTTCAAGATGGAAGCTCAGGATTTATAACCTAATTTGAAAGTGACATTCTATAATTTTTGTCATCTTCTGTTCCATAGAAATGAGTCTGTCTGTCCAGCCTACAATCCAAGGGAAAGGACTCTCACAAAAGCAAGAGTACCCAGATGTAGAAATCACTGGGGGCCGTCTTAGAGCTGGCTTCCACATCCCTTTCTACTGCCTCTGGTGCCCTTGGTGGGGTGTGGTTCTTCCCCTGTTCTCCAGGAGCAGCTTTTTCTGTACAGTCAGATCAGTGACTCTTCTCTCTCCCTTGATAGTTTCCTGGAATAAGTGCTGTGGGTGTCAGAGCTGGGCTGTGTGCAGTGTCCCCTCCTTCACTGAGTACTCCCAACATTTGTTGCCCCAAAGCCTTGCAGGAAAAGATTAGGGGTTCAGGGATTTTTCAATCTGTTAAACAGATTCCACGTAGCTTGGGCACTCACTAGCTAGGTGAGTGTCCTGATATTTGGCACCTCTATGTCCCAGGTTCTGCCCCTATTCTGTAACATTTGCTGGGGCCTGACTGTGTCAGGAATTGCAGGTACTGACATGGTCACTTATGGCAATCACAGGACTGTTTTGCCAAGTCTTTCTTGGAGGCTCCTTTTTAACATTTTTTCTTTTCTTTTCTGTGAGTGGGTCTGCCTGCACTACTCACTTGCCCTTTGTTTTCTTTACAACATTGATTTTCCAGATCCTATGCAGTTGTCCAGTTGGAGAGGGGCAGAAAGCCTTGGGTGTCTGACAGGGCAGATACTACTCCACCCACAGTTAGTGAGGTCAAGAGAGGGTCTGCTGAATGGGGTCTGGGGGAGGGTGTCATGTTAGGGCTATGTTTAGATTAAACCTTCAGCCTTTTTTGTGTTCACAAGTGTTTTTTGCCAAGGCCCATGGCAATACCTTCTTTCTACTTTTCTTTCCCCATTCTTGGCACTTTGCCCACTTTTCATTTCTCTCCTGTCTTCTATTATGTGGATATTTCCCTGTTTCTCTAATCTCCATGTTTTCCTTGTTCTCCTCTGCTCACTCTGCAATACATCATGACCCTGGCCTACTTTAACATGTCATGAATTGTGTATATCAAGTAATACTGAAGAATTAGCTGCTTACTTGGAGTCAGATTTTCCTGGGCATAGACACACCCTTCTGCTTAGAGCTCACCTGACACCAGCAGCCAAGCCTCTGCTGAAACACTTTTGCAGAGGAATGAGTTAGAGACCTCACCTCTATGCCCTATCCATTACTCCATCATTGTCATTAGGTCTTTACCCATCATTAGGGTTCCTCCATTCTGTAAACTTTTGGAGGCCTCTGTGACTTTTGGAGGCCTTGAATGCCCCCAGCCCTTTCTTAACTGATCTTGGCTCCCTTGTCCTGCCAACAAGACAGTAGACTCTTATTGACATGTCACATGCACATTTGTGATGGGGCTGCTGCTTGCCACCATAGTCAATATGTATTTCATCAGGATTTCTCTGCTTTCCTTTCAGGTTGCTGGTGTGAAGCATATGATGAGGAGGGACCTTCGGAGCAGAGCGTTTCTGTAGAAAGAGTGTCACAGGTCAGGACTCCTGAATCAGGTGGATTCATCCAGGAAGCCCACCCATGTGAGATGTGTGACCCACTCTCGAAAGACATTTTGCACTTGGCTGACCACCAGGGATCACACCTTATGCAGAAACTGTATACGTGTGGGAGAGGATTCTCATTCAGTGCAAAATTTTACCAGCACCAGAAGCAGCATAGTAGAGAAAGTGGCTTCAGAGGAGATAATGGAGGGGCTTCATTTGCGAGGAGCTGTGCAGTCCACATGTTTGGGAGATCCTTTACATGCAGGGAGGAAGGGATGGACTTGTCAGACAGCTCTGGCCTCTTCCACCACCAGACCACTCATGATTGGGGGAGTCCATATGAAAGGACAGCATGCATGGAATCTTTCCCACGCTGTTCTAGTCTCAGGCAACATCAGGGAGACTGTGATGGACAGATGGTTTTCAGTTGTGATAATGAGAAAGCCTTCCTGAACACCTTTACTCTCCTTGACAACCAGATAACTCATACTGTGATGAGACCCTTCAGATCCCTACCATGTGGAAATGTGTTCAAGGAGAAATCAGCTCTTATTAATCACAGAAAAATTCACAGTGGAGAAACATCTCATGTGTGTAAGGAGTGTGGAAAGGCATTTATTCATCTGTCCCACCTAAAAATGCATCAGAAATTTCACACTGGAAAAAGACATTACACGTGTGGTGAATGTGGGAAGGCCTTCAGCCGCAAAGACACACTTGTTCAGCACCAGAGAGTTCACACTGGTGAAAGGTCTTATGACTGCAGTGAATGTGGAAAAGCCTACAGCAGAAGCTCCCACCTTGTTCAGCACCAGAGAATTCACACTGGAGAAAGGCCTTATAAGTGCAGTGAATGTGGGAAAGCCTTTAGCCGTAAAGACACACTTGTTCAACACCAGAGATTTCATACTGGAGAAAGGCCTTATGAATGCAGTGAATGTGGGAAATTCTTTAGTCAAAGCTCCCATCTTATTGAGCACTGGAGAATTCACACTGGGGCAAGGCCTTATGAGTGCATTGAATGTGGGAAATTCTTTAGCCATAACTCCAGCCTCATTAAACACAGGAGAGTCCACACAGGAGCAAGGTCTTATGTGTGCAGTAAATGTGGGAAAGCCTTCAGCTGCAAAGACACACTTGTTCAGCACCAGATAATTCACACTGGGATAAGACCTTATGAGTGTAGTAAATGTGGGAAGTCCTTTAGCCGTAAAGACACACTTGTGCAGCATCAGAAAATTCACACTGGAGAAAGGCCTTATGAGTGTGGTGAATGTGGAAAATTCTTTAGTCATAGCTCCAACCTTATTGTACACCAGAGAATTCACACTGGAGCAAAGCCTTATGAGTGCAATGAGTGTGGAAAATGCTTTAGCCACAACTCCAGCCTCATTCTACACCAGAGAGTTCACACTGGAGCAAGGCCTTATGTGTGCAGTGAATGTGGTAAAGCTTATATTAGTAGTTCCCATCTTGTTCAGCACAAGAAAGTTCACACTGGAGCAAGACCTTATGAGTGCAGTGAGTGTGGGAAATTCTTTAGCCGCAATTCTAGCCTCATTCTACACCAGAGGGTTCACACTGGAGAAAAGCCTTATGTTTGCAGTAATTGTGGGAAAGCCTATAGCAGAAGCTCCCATCTTGTTCGGCACCAGAAAATTCACACTGGAGAAAGGACTCATGAGTGCAACAGTTTTGGTGACTCTTTAGCTGCATCTCTTAAACTTGTTTAGCACCAGAAAATTCACACTAGAGAAAGTCCTTATGCATGCAGAAAATGTGCTATTTCCTTGTTCAACCTATGTGACTCACACCAGAGAAAACCTCTGTGAGTACCTTTTGTGAGAGAAACAGCAGGTAAACCTGGTACGTGCATACATCCACACTGGGGAGATTCTCCATAAACACCGTATACATGGGGATGCTTTCATGAGGTGTTTTGCACTTTCTAAACTGCCTAGGGCTTTTCACAGTTATATCACTGCCGGGGCCTATGGCGGAAGCCATCTTATTGCTACCAGCTGTATGTCAATCACTCACATTTTGCTCAGGGAAGGCAGACCTCTGTGCTCGCTCTGCTGTTCCCTGCCGGGCATCATGAGTGTTCTAAGCCCATTGAAGGTCCTTATTTTTTTCCTTCATGATTAGGTTCTGAGTGGACTAGCTCTGTCCAAAAGGATCTGAGCTAAAGTCTGCTAGGTATTTTCCAACAAGGTTTCCCTTCATAGAAAATGTTGACTGTAAAGATGATGGTTGTGATTTACTTGTCCTACTGCCAAATTGCCCAACTTTGGACCTGGCCTGTACAGTGTTGTTCTGATTACTACAGTGACAAAGGCCTATTGTGACAGCCTTTTTACTCTTGGGAGTACTGTTTACTCTGTAGAGTGGATTGAGAGAAGAATTGGGCTCTGTCAGCATGAAGGGAGGAATACCTTTTGTGGGCACCATCTTTATGTGCCTTAGAGGGGACCACAGGATGACAGAGAATGGTTCTCAGTCTAGTTCAACCTAATTTGTACTGTTGTCCTAAGCCTGCTAGGAAAGACTGAAGAACATTGTGTGCCTAATTCTGTGGCCTGGATGTCAGGATTTCCTGTGGGCCCAGTGTTCATCCTGAGGGCATGGTTGGTGAGAAAATCTCTAGTGTTTATGTAAATAATAGTTGAGTCCCTTGACTCACATATTCCCCAGCATTGTTGAAGGATTGATATCTTCTGGTCCTGTATGGGAACCAGTCTGTGATATCGAGAATCCCATAGGCAAGTGCCATTCACTGTGCCATTCACTGTAAGATATACAGTGAATGAGAATCATGATTGGTACAGAAACACAGAGATTCTGGAGTGCGGATGACTGTGGCAAACAAGATTTTTACATTGTAAATGGACATCCAAAAATGTCCATGCAATTATAACTGTGTGGAATGAGGTACAGAAATTTTCAGGACGTCCAGACATCTGTATTTCCTGTGGCCAAGGCCACTGTCAGAGTAAATAAAGATTTCTGGATTTCCGTACCTCCCTGGGCAGTTGACCTTATGGCCATCACTGCACAGGCAGGAACCCCAGCACTGACAGAAGAGAAATCCAGGATGGGGATTCTCTGACCTAGCCAGCATTCCTAGTGACTGAGGTAGAAATGGACTTCATTGCTGTCCAGTTTTTGCTGACGTTGAGGCAGGGCTCACTCTCCTAAAATGTAAAGAGAAGGATATTATACAGCCAAAATAGTTGGCAGATCTAACTTTCTAAGAGGAATGGTAGATATGGATGGGGAGCATTTAGTTCTTAACAGCTTTATTTTATTTTATTTTTTTTGAGACAGAATCTTGCTTTGTTGCCTGGGCTAGAGTGCCATGGCATCAGCCCAGCTCACAACAACCTCAAACTCCTGGGCTCAAGCAATCCTGCTGCCTCAGCTTCCAGAGCAGCTGGGACTATAGGCATGTGCCACCATGCCTGGCTAATTTCTTTCTAATTTTTTTAGTAGAGATGGGGTCTCACTTTTGCTTAGGCTGGTTTTGAACTCCTGACCTTGAGTGATCCTCCCGCCTTGGCCTCCCAGAGTGCTAAGATTACAGGCATGAGCCAGCATGCCCGGCCTTAACAGCTTTATTGAGGTAAAATCGACACACAATAAACCACAAATATGTAAAGTAAAATGTACTGTGTTTCAGCATGTGTATACACCTATGAAACCACCACAATCAATGAACATACCCAACATAACAAAAGATTCCTTGTGTCCCTTTATAATCCTTATATCCTAATACTTCCTTTTTTTTTTTCTCAGTTTGCAAACAATCATTTTCTAGAATTTTATAAATGAAGTTATATAGTATGTATATTTTAGGGGGTGAGGGCTCTGGCTTTTTTTTTTTTACTACACATAACTATTTTGAGATTAATCAATCATCTTTTTGCATGAATCAATAGCTTGTTCATTTGTATTAGTAGCATTCCATTATATACTACAAGTTTTCTTTTTTATTCATTTGGTTGCTAATAGATGTTTGGATTGTTTTCAGTTTTTGGCTAACACAAATAAAGCTCCTGTTAATATTTGTGTGCAAGTTATAGCTAAATAATATTCCATTGTATGGATGTACCAGTTTGTTTTTCCATTTACCTATTGGAGGACATAGTAGTTGCTTTCAAGTTTTGGCAATTCTGAATAAACCTGCTACATTTGTGTACAGTTTTTTGTGTGGATGTATATTTTCAGCTCATGCAGGTACAAGTCAAAGAGCACAATCTGCTGGATAATATATTAAGTGTTGTATGTTGAGGCTTGTAAGAAAATGTTAAACTGTCTTCCAAGGGAACTATACCATTTTTTTTTCATTCCACCTAACAATAAATATTTCTGTTGCTTCATATCCTCATGAGCATTTAGCATTGTCAAATGACATTCAAACAGGTGTGCAGTGGTATGCCAATGTTGCTTTAATTTGAAATTCTCTAATGGCACATGGTGAACATCTTTTCATATTCTTTTAACAGTGTCTTTTGTAGAGCTGAAGTTTTAAATTTTAATCACATTCAATTTACTCAGTTTTTCTTTCATGGATTGTGTTTTTTTAATTTTCTTTTTATTTTTGAGACAGAGTCTCACTTTGTTGCCCAGGCTAGAGTGAGTGCCAAGGCATCAGCCTAGCTCACAGCAACCTCAATTTCCTGGGCTCAAGCAATCCTGCTGCCTCAACCTCCCGAGTAGCTGGGACTACAGGCATACACCACCATGCCTGGCTATTTTTTTCTATATATATTAGTTGACCAATTAATTTATTTCTATTTATAGTAGAGACAGGGCAAGTAGAGCAAGAGACGCTCTTGCTCAGGCTGGTTTCAAACTCCTGACCTTGAGCAATCCACCTGCCTCGGCCTCCCAGAGTGCTTGGATTATAGGCATGAGCCACTGCACCCGGCTCATGGATTGTGTTCTTGATATTGTGTCTAAAAAATCAGTGCCAACACAAGGTCACCTACATTATCTCCAATGTTATCTTTTAAACTTTTCTAGTTTTGTGTTTTATATGTAGGTCTCTAATCTATTTTGTGTAAATATTTATGAAACATGTAGGGTCTAGATTGATTTTTCAAAACATGAAGCTGTCTTGTTTTCCCGGCACCATTTGTTAAAAAGACTGTCCTTTTTCCATTGAATTGCCTTTGCTCCTATGTCAAAGATCAGTTGACTATATTTGTGTGGATGTACTTCTGGGCTCTCTGTTCCTATTAATACTTGTTTTTCATTTGTTGAGATAATCATGTGTGGGTATTTGGAGTACTTTTTCTTTCTTT